AAATATGTTTTCAATCAATGGTCACACAAAAACATTTGTTTGCAAACAGACTGTTGATTGAAAATTTTGTTTCCTATGAATATCAGGCTCTTACGGACAAGACATTTATTCTATATTTAGTTATAACTTAAATTACAACATAATTGATCAAACAAAATAGAGTGAGCAATAAAAGTTTTGAAGCATAGAATTGATATGTGTAGGATATAATTCTATGGGAGAAGTGGAATGGAGAAAAACAAACTAATACATTTTCCAGTGCTCAGGAAAGATTTATTGGTGCCTACACTTGCAAAAAAAAAAATAATAATAATACTCATCAAATCATCATATTTAGATTTCACTGAATAAATTCAAAAGCATAATTAACAGGTTTACTTTAATGTTGATGCAATTGAATCTCACCAACTGATATTGTATAATTAACAGGTAACCTCTTTAGATAGTGGGATGGTTCTACAGGTGACCATCGGCTGACCAGTTTTCCTCCTTTCCTTGCTAATGGTTCTCAAGGATAACTGTAGCTTGTGCTGGGAATGTGGTGTCCTGAGATGGGGAAGTTGAGTCCAATGAGTGCATCCCAAGGAGTAAAGACCAGGGCAGGCTACTTTTCAGGGTCCATCAGTTGTCATGCCTATGGGGCATGAGCAGGCAAGGCTCTGTCCACCTTGGGAGCTTTTCTGAGCCTTGGAGGATGGGGGCAGGGGGTAGCTCACAATGAATCCCTGGCTTCTGCGTCCCTTGCTGCCTATCTGTAAACAACAAACCTGCTTCCTGTAATCTATTGTATGTGTGGATGTCCTACCACACCAGTCTCAGAAAAGTTGGAAACAGAGCACAATGAGTGTTTCACAATATAAAGTTCAAAAATAAGCAAACTACTTAATGGTATAAAAGCCCAGTTGGATGGTTACCCTTGGATGGCACTAGCAATGACTGGAAGGAGGACAAGAGGCTTCTGGGAGCCTGGTGATGCTTTCTTTCTCAGAATATTGTTATGCTGACCTGTTCACCGAGGAAACCCATGACTGTATACTTAATGCTTTATTCACTTTTCTGGGAGTTGTAATTTAATAGCACCATTATTAAAAATGCCAACATAGCCTTTACCTGTTATGGATAGCTTATCGTTATTTATCTTTTAAATATTTTTCTCACTCTGTCACTTGTACTTTAACTACTATATAGAAAATGTGGACGAAATTTACAACCAGGCAATTCGCAGAGGGCATCCTGCGGGTAGTCAGCAAACGTGAAACATTATGCAATTTCATTACTACCCAGAGAAATGCAAATGAACACAGTATATAAATCCTTTGCTCATCAAAGTGGAATGTTTCCTGAAGGTTTATAATGTATACTGTTTACAGTGGAGTGAGGAAAGAGGTACTCACACATCCCGTAGGGGATTAGAGCAGGGTTGCCTACAGGGCATGAGGGTGTATGTAACCAACCTCCAGATACAAGAGCCAGCACCCTGCTTGGCACCTTGAGCAGCTGGATTGGTGTTACCAACCGCCTCTCTCCAGAATGTGAAGACAACAAACTCCTATTTATGGTTGTTGTGTTTTTTAAATTTCGAGATAACTCCCTATCCAAACTCATGTCATTTGAATTCAGGAACCAGATTTGGGTGAATTTGAATTTGAATGAATCCCTCACTGAACTCTCTCTATTCGACAACCACAACCAGAGAACTGAAGCATGACATATTTACTATTAGAAATCACTTTCTATTAGTAACTATTTAAACTTACAGTGACTATTTTTAAATACCAACTTTAAAACTATGCAGTAGTATGGGAGTAGTATGTTTGCAAAAAAATTCTTTTAGAGTGAAAATGTGAAGATAACTGTCCTGATACACTTCTTTGAAATGTATTCTTCAATCCAACCAGAAATAAAGAAGAAAATAAAGAGTAAAGAATAAATAAATAAATACTACATACAGGTTTATTGGCACAATGAATGGGGGTAAACAAGTGCATTTTTTTTAGGAATGATCAAAGCAGAAGATATATGTTCTTTCTAAACAATCACCTTATATTTTGAAAAATTGGGTTACTAATAGGCCAAATATCACACTGTTCCTATTCACTGGCCATGATATAGTCTTTAGCCCCTAAATATTTTCACCTGGAAATTTAAAAATACACAGCTAAAAAGCTCTTGAATTAAACAGGACATCAATCTCTGGGGGAGGAAAAAAAATGACATTTCTTAGGCTTCCCAACTGACTTGGATGTTCTCCCTAGGCCCCCATACTGACCCCACCACGGCCATGGCTGCTGGCCCTTCTAGAGAGGCTAACTACCCTCTCTGCCCAGCACTTTCTCCACATTCCCAAGTGAGCAGAACTTTCAGGCAGAATGTCCAAAAAGAGGCCACAGCTAAGCTCTTGGGCTCCCTGTGACCTCCCAGATAACCTTCCTAAAGGATTCTGTTGGTGGGAATTCTTGTCCTTCTGCCAGAAATGGGCATTCTCTTCTTATTCCCCATAAGAACCCTGTGGCCTATACTACTTCTTGTTCTGTTTTATTTTAATTTTCTCCATTGCCCCCAGAAAACTCAGAGTACATTTCATTCTGAATTTTCATGTTTGTCCTTAGCCTAAATTTTCTGATTTAAAAAAAAAAAATTTCTTTTGTTCTTCTATTACAAGGCTTTTGGCTATTGTTTGAATGTAGGTAGCCTCCTCAAGTCCTTTGGAAGTGGATGTTATAAATATAACCATACATGTATGCATATCTATATGTATAAACAAACATACAATTAGCTAAAATAAAACCTAAAGGGTAGAAATTTCAAAAGAGACAGAAGATCATTCGAGGTGATAATTTTAGGCAAGTAAAACCTTGATACACCACAGAATCATATCAGGAAAGTGAGCCTGGTTCATAGACGTTTCCAGCACTACATGCAGCTGTCCTTCCCCACCTCCTTGGTCATCCACAGACAACATGAATTGAACTCACCAAGAAAACCTTGAACATAATATCGAACACCCTAAAGACGCCCACACATGCTAAGGAAGGGACGTTCCTTCTGGGTCACCAAGAGTTCTTGGAAGACCTGCTGAGGACAGCCCCAGTGGGAACCCCACAGCAACTCCCTGAGCCAATTAACAAATTCGCACCTTGGGGTGACACCCTCCACTGTGTGCAGGTGTGGTTGGAGATAGGTTGCAAGCTTTGCTTGGGGAACACAGCCATGTCTTCAAGCTTTGAGAGGGGAAACTGAGGACCCTGGTTGCACCGTGAACAGGCCCCCCAGGAAACAATGGGCTGTATTTAGAGTCTGAGGCGAAGACACTCAGCACCTTGGTCCTCCAGTTCTCCTTAGCCAGCTTCATCAGTTGCCCGACAAGCGGCCACTACAAAAACTCCCGGAACCGTTGAATCTCAAAGATTTCAAAGTGACCTACAAAAAGTGGAGGGTGACTATTGGCTTGTCTTTCTCTCTCTCTCTTTTTTTTTTTTCTAAATCACAGTTTTCTTTCAGATAAAAACAATATCGACCTTAATACTTCTGTTCCTGGAAAAATTGATTTTTCACATGATTCCCCAAAACTGCTTTCACATGGGATACAAAAGGGACAGCTCTTATTTTCTAAAGTGCTAGATCAAGGTCAGTGGATGAAGGAACCCTCCCCTTCTTAATGGGATGTTTTATTTTGCAAACTGGCTTCCTGGGGGTTGGGCCAGTGTTAACTAACTGCGAGAGAATTAGACTCAGGTCAGGCAAACGTGGGAATCAGGAGTGAACAAAAGTAGACTGACAGCTTTGCCACCAAGGACAAATGCCACATCCACAAAGTGCGGCCATTATGATCCTGCCGCCCAGGGTCAAAGCTGTGAGCTAGAGGCAGTCCTGAGCCTGCAAGAATCCCACCACCAGCCCTGAGTCACTGTGCTCCCCTGCTTTCTTCTGGGTGTCTCTGCCCTGGCAGTGGATCTACTGATGTCCCTACTCACAGCCCAGTATCCGTCACCCTCGCTCCCTGCTCTGGCATCACGCATTGGAATTCAGAGCGACTTCAGACTCTAGATCCCTCACATGTCACCTTGAGCCCTATATTTACCTCCTGCAGGTGTGATTACAAATTGCTACAAATTCAGTGGATTCAAATAACACAAAGTTATAGCTCCCAGTCCATAAGCAAAAATTCTGGGCAGGTTTTAGGCTGTTTCTTTGCTCTGGATCTCACAGAAGCAAAATCAGGGTCAGCCTGACCTGGCTCTTATCTAGAGGTTCCAGGGAGACTGCGTCTCAGCTCACTGATGTTGCGGGCAGAGTCCCATCCACCCCGCTGTAGGACTGAGCTCTCTTGGAACCTAAGCTACCTGAGGCCACCCGTATTCATCATCCCGGCACTCCTCCATCTTCAGTGACCCGCTGGGTCCTGCTCACACTGCATCTCCCACACTTTCTCTGATGCCTCATCCTCAGACTCCAGCTGGAGAAAGTCCTCTGCTTTAAGGACTCGGATGACCACATCAGTTGTCCCTAGTCTCCCCAGCCCCTGCCAGGATCCAGGATGATCTCCTATCTTCATGTTGACTGATTATTAACTAATACTATAATCAGATCCATAAAAGTCTCTTTTGCTATGTAATGAAACATATTCACAGGCTCCAAGAATAATGGTGTGGACATCTTCAGGGGGCTGTTCTGTCTACTATCCTCCCTCAGTTTCCTTACTTGCAGAACAGATCCATAATGCAGTGCCTAGGAGAGCCCCCTGCACACAGCCATGCCCTCCTGTGATGGACTAAGCCAGGGAATCAGCCTCCACCCTGAATTCCTTACTGGAATCCACTGTTCTGCCGGGATTTCACATCTCCTTACCACCTGGGCACTCATTTGAGATGCTGATTTTCCAATCATCACCCATCAGCTCCTCCCCCCAGAGCTTGTCCACAGGCTGATGCCATGCAGCAATCCTACAGGGACCCAGGAACTGACTACCACCCCCATATCTCCCCTCCAGGTCTACTGACCTCCACTTGCCCTGCCTTCAGGGTCTGACAGAAGAATTGCCAGAATCATCCCTCCACATCTGTTCTCCCCCAATGAATGCCACCAATGACACTCTGCCAGAGCTGGAGCAGGAATACTCAGAGGCTGCAAAGTCTCCGGTCGGCTATCTAAGCCGTAAATCTGGACCTGTTCGTTCTTCTGCTGGAGATCCAGTAAATTCTTCCAATCAAGGCACATTTGAAATGTGTAGATATCGACAATGTGTCCTCCCAAATCTCACTTGTTTTGAAACATTTCACTCTGCGAAGAGATATGCTCTAGCTCTCTTTTCTCTAAGGCCAAGAAAGCTAAACAGCACCAAGAATTTATATAATATGGATTTAATATCTCCCAACCTCCTCTTCATTTCATCTCCTACTCAATGCAATTCTCTCAGGGATTCTAACTTCTCACCCAATTCATAGACAGAATCCTGACACAAAGAACAGCTGCTAAATCTATATATGAAGAGAGGAAGGGCAAATAAATCTAGAAAATGACACGCTCCCTGACACCCTCTGGTGGGTGATTAGATAACTGACCTATCTCCCCTACTGGCCTTCCAGCCCCCAAATCACATGTGTTGCCATACATTCAGCCCACCCTGAAACCCTGCATCCTCAGTGGGAAATAACCAGTTCTATGACAATCCTGTTTTTGTTACCTGGGTTTAAGTATCAGATCATTCATGAATCACTGCCCACAAACTCAGGTGCAAGAAATGATGCATTTCTTTGTATAAATCAGTTTGTTCTCTGATCCCATTGCTGATGATGCCAGGTTGATAGGAAACTTAGCCTTAATTGCTTTCAGAGTTTCCAGCCAGTTCCCTGAAGCTATGGCAAGAGTGCAATGATGCGTACCCTGCCCAGGCTTGGGACCAGGCCTCTGGACAAGCATCAGTTTGCTTTTTGCAGAGATTTCCTCTTCTTGATGGTCCCACAGGGCTTAATTCCTGCCAATCACATGGGCTCCATCTGTCTATGAGCTGGGTAGACACTGCCATTTCTCCATGGGGTACTTCCAGGAAGCTATAACCAAGAACTCCCTCCTCCAAGACCTCACCTGAACTTTCTTCCATGGTGAGGAGAGCTCCGGTGGACAGTGGGAAGCTCCGTGGCACCTCTCTCTCCTGACTTTCCTCAGGCATCAGATCTCCAAGCAGAGCCTTCAGGGATCTACAGCCTTATCTAGGACTTAGTTCTAGAAATAAATCAGACAACCTCAAACCTTTCCTCAGACAATATATCTCAGGGTCTATCTGCATGAATGAGAAGCTGAAGGGAGAAAATCGGGCTGAAAAGCACAATATCTCAGAATACTCATTAGCCCACAGCAATGAAAAGACACAGCCCTTTTTACTCCAAGCACTTTTATGCTCACATCCAACAGAGAAATTCCTGAAATCTAGATAAACCCATGCCATCGCCGTAGAGCAAAACGAAAACTTTGGCAGTTTAAGAGCTGACGGGCTGTGGTTTTGCACAGTAACACACAGCAGCTCTGCGTACTGACTTTAACCATAGAGGTCTGCAGTGGCTTAACACTGGCTAACAGACAACTGCAGCAGCAGAGGCAGGAAACAAAACAGCCAGGACAGAACAACCCCCTCCTTAGGCTTAGTCAGCCACAGTCCCGAAGCTGTAGGAGCTAAGAGCCCCAAGGCTGTTGACAAGTTTGTACCCAGATAAGGAATGAAGAATGCTCCCTTCAACAGAATCGCACCAACTCCCTTGCCTTGATGTACCCAAAACTTGTTTATGTATGAAAATAAAAACCCTGCTGTGCTCAAGGCTCAGACTTTGGGAATTATCCCTCTGGGCCACGGCGCCACTAATAAAGTGTTGCTTCCAGGTCTCCCTGTCCTGACCCTCTTTCCCGCTGCACCATGAGCTAGGCAGGAGGCAAACCCTAGCCGTGGCAGCCTTCCTATGGCATACCCCAGGGCGGAGGGGGTGGGGAGGACAGCCAGTTTCCTTTGGCTGTCCAAATGCTGTCCACACATTAATTTAGCCTTGGTGCCTAAGAATGTAAGAGAGGAATCACTTAGAAGTGCATCATGGTTGTTTCTCTGCAAGGCTTTCTTTACCAACTGCTTGGTAATGAATTAACAAGAATTACTCGTCTTCTATTTACACATGGGGTGGGATTTGTAAGTATTTTAGTACTTCTGTGATGCTGCCTTCTCTAGGTGAAAACAAAGCCCAACCAGATGAGAAAGGCAAAGGCCACCACCCAGAACTTGCAACAGCACAGGGCAGGCCATCGGCGCTGGCACTTGCATTTGGTAGAGACTCAATGGCCAGGGGAGTGGGAGAGTTTTACACTGAGGAAAAGGGGGTCAGCCCCAGGCATGCACTGTTTGGAGGCTGCTGGCCTGGGGTCGCTGGGGCAGCTGGCCAGGTTAGGGAGCTGATGGGGCCTTCTCTGATTGATCCTAAGTTGGAAGCAGGGACAAAAATTAGAGAAGCTGTCAGTTTTCAACCAAGTCCCGGTCATTTGGGGCCAATTTTTAGAGAGCTTACTGCTTGGCTTCTGGGCCAGTTGCTACACATCATGGTCCGACTTCCAGAGGTCTGACTTATGCTCAGCAGGCTGTCTTCCTGGGCTGGCTATTACACACAGAGGGCTGGTGGCTGCAGATGTGGTCAGAGTTCTATTTTTCTGTATGTCCTGGCCACTTATGTATTCACTTGCTGTTTACATTCATGACTACAGGATCCTTGAGAACAGGAACAGATCTTTGAGTCCATATTTCCAGTGGACAATGTCTTTCCAACACACTTGGATCACCTCATTGAGCAATCGGCTCCATTCCTATTATCCCCAGCCCCTAGCAACCACTCAGCTATATTCTCCATGTATATGGCTATTCTGGATATTTGATATAAATAGAATCATACAATGTTTAGCCTCTTGTGACCACCTTCTTCCACTTCATAGAATGCTTTCACACTCCAGCATGAACCAGGGGCTGGGTTATAGCTCAGCAGCAGAGCACTTGCCTTGCACTCATGAGGTACTGGGATCGATCTTCAGCACCACATAAAAAATAAATAAATAAATAAAATAATTAAAGTTATTGTGAAAAAAACATAGCATGAGCCAGTACTCTGTTTCATTGCATGGCTGAATAACACTCCACATGGATACATCCCATGTTGCTTATCTATTCATCAGCTGATGGACATTGGGGCTGTTTGCACATTTTGATTGGTGTGAATGACTTTGCTATGAACCTGGGTGCACAAGTTTTTGTGTAGACTTAACTTTTCTTGGCAATTGCAGGGTTATATGGTAATTCTTATTTAACTTTTTGAAGAATCTTCTCTTTTCTAAAGTGCCAGATGTGAAGCGTGCTCCATCCAACTGAAACACACAGGAGAGCTGAGAAGAACTGGAAATCTTTCACACTCCAGATGTGATCCCCGCCCTGCAGCCTGCTGAGATCCATGCCCCACAGCACTCTGTACCAAAACGATCTGTTTCTTACATCTGTAGCCCCGAGTAGCCTGCAAGTCCCTGTATGGTAGGGACCACACCTTCCAGACTCATCAGCATATCCCCAGCATTTAGTGGTCAGCACAATGCTGAGAACATACCAGTGCTCCAAATTATTGGTGGGTCTAGGTTCACGGACGATTAAACTGATTAAGGCATCCTATCTTTTGTGGTTTGGTCCTTATTTAATAAGTGAAAAAGATTTTTTCTTACTCAGAACTGTTGATATGGTACAGCAACATCATCTACCCAGATACATGTAAATTCAGAAAGCAATAAACCCCAGATGCACTGTCAGCAGCGGGGTGACGGCGGGAGGAGGCAACAACAAAGGCAATCTCCACTCGGAGATGGTACATTGAACTTGTGTTTAAATTAAAAGTGAGTGCCTTTGAGTGTTTCTCTGTTCTGAGTACAAAGACTCATTATCTTAAAACAAAAATGCAATCCTAGATAACACTGACAAATAAAGCTGAGCATTGTGTCTGTAAGAAAAAACGATCTGATACATGCGTTACATCGTGTCTCTGACATTCAGAGTTTCTAGGCCTGAAAACTCTCCCATTCTGCTTCCGCAGAATGACTAGTCTATCTGAGGATCGTGAGGGACAGAGTTAATTTTCCAAGTGTACAGTGAGCTCAGCCCCACTGTCAAATGCTACCATTTAACAGCTCCATCCGCTCGGCTTTGGCTGTTGGCTGGAGGTGTTATCTGCACGCCACTCAAGGACCTGCAGAAAGGGACTTATCTCATGGCTCTGTGGGGCTCGGTGTCATTGTGATGAGATCTCTTTTTTTCCTCCTGTAAATTCCCCCTTGATGTTGAAGGGCTGAGCCTGAAAATGATCAAACACCAATTAAGCCATAATGATCTAAGACTTATGCAAGACGGTGACTTGGAAAGGACAGTCTGCTCCTGAAAGATAAATCGAGAAGGATGTGAGGGAAAGAAATATTAATTCAGGGGGAACTGTGTGCGCTCGGTGTGGCAGATTGCAATTGCAGACCCGATTCACCCCCTTCCTCCTGGACCAGCCTTCTCTCTGGGTGCCCAGCCTTCTCTCTGGGTGCCCTGTGACTGCACATGGCCCCCTACTTCCCCATATGTTAGGCCCCGACGTCAGCCTGAGCCTCCTCTCCGGCCCTCAGCTTCAGTCTCCACATGTGCCAAGACACCCGCGATCCCTCTCACAAGTGCCCCGTCCCCTGCTGCCACATCCTACAAACCTATTTCCAGCCATCAGTGCTCAGGATTATGAAGACAGCCGTGTAGCCCGCTTACGCCTCCGTCTCCCCGACTCTGATTTCTGCCTTACTCCCCTGGTGCGCGGCTGACACCCAGTCCCAACACTGGCAGGCAACCATTCCCCCCAGCATAGGGCACCACCATCCGGCCCGCTCGGCATTCAAAGCCACCGTGGCCTGACTGGCTTCCCTGTCTTCACGGCTGTTAACAGGAGCTATTTCTGGTCCCCATACCTACTCCTAGAGTCTCAGGCAGGGTGCCCAGAGGCCCTGAGATGCCAGTTCAAGTGCAGGGGACTTACTGGGGATGCTGGATGAGGGAGGGGAAAGGGCAAGGAAATGTGTGATTTCAGACAAAGGCCCTGGAGGTGACAGAGGGAAGCAGCAGGCTGAGGGGACAAGTAGCCCT